CCCCCCCCCCCCCCCGAAGGGGTTCGTTGCTTTTTAAAAACTTGACCAACCCCTCCGAGGAGCTCCGAAAGGAGCGTTCTGCCCTAGTAATATAATATTACATGACGCTACAATGCTTCCTTCCAAGCTTCTGATTATATATTTTATTATCCCATTTATATCTGATTTTATACAACTATTTGCCTGTATTTCTTCATTCTACAATGTTAGTACACTTTATTGTAATCTTATAAGCTACACCTTCATTAATATAGTGGTATCTACTACACAGAAATTGTTTCCCCCACTTCTTATTGAACATTTTAATGGTTTAACACCGTCCTCCCTGCATATAGGGCATCTTTCTCAATTTCCAAATATCTGTCTGTCTTTCTTGTACAACATATCGTGTATTTTTCCTTACACATCTCTTATGGACCTCTTTTCTTTTGTATTTGCAAACAAATTTTGTCATTCCTTATAACTATGCCTTTCTTTATTTCATGCATCCTACTCACGCTATTCTACGAAACTTGCCACATATATACGAATCCTATTTTGTTTTATCCTTCATTCAACTTCTTTGCCCAACTTCTGTCAGGAAATTGAAAGAAAAAGTAAGATACAGAAGAGAACATTTATATCCGCTTTACCAGGACTGAGATTTGTAAAGCGATATGACATTAAAGAGTCAATTGTAATCAAGTGATATAAGTCCGTCTTATATTTTAAATAATGAGCCCACTGCATTATCAAAAATTATGCCACAACTGGTGTCAGAAGTGGTAAACAAAAAATAGCTCTGGCACTAAAACTACTTATGGGCAAGTTACACATAATGGAGAGTTAGATACATGACACAAGCACTAGACAGGATGAAATTAAAAATTATATCAGTGCCATTAGGTCTGAATAAGCTGCATTTGAAGAGAAAGTTATGGACAAGCGTGATAAACAGCTGAAAGGCATTGTGATTGGCTGTTAAAACAAAGACCCAGAAAATCTGCAAGGGATTCAATTGCAAGTTACATGAGACACAACAAAACGTAGAAGCAACTTGGCACAACCTCCAAGCCACATACTAAGTTTGAAACACAGCTGGCAGTGGTGGAAGGCTAAATGACATACGAAGGCAACAAAAACGCAGGGACCAGCATGGGACAGGGTGAAACCGCCGATGTTTGACGGATATGTCCCGAGCATTATTCCACTGTCAGTCTGAGGCTGCCTGCAGGAAAAAGCTGCTTACATACAATGTTCCCTGCTGGAGCAACATACAAGCACATCATTGGCAGCCTGAAGGGCTGCTACAGAGGCCACCAACTGGAAAGGCCCATAGAAAGTAATCACCCAGATCAACATGGTCTACTGGATCCAGCAACATCAAGGACAAATATAATGGTAATCGACCTGGACAGACAGGCACCACACCTCAGAGCTACTCAAGACACGGAGTGTCACAATATCAGACTACAGCAGGTGAACAGCCACCCTTGCAGCATCCCGTCTTGTCCGCTCGGAGTAACATCATGGCTGGCTGATCGAGCATGCACGTAATTACAACCTTCCAGCAACACGTGTTAGCTCTCAGAACAGCGTCAGACATTCTACAGCTATCCAGAACATGCCTGTAGTCTGGTCTGAATGATAAAAAAGTGAGTTGCCATAACCACTAGGTCAGTTGAGTGGCACAGTAGAGCAGCGGTATTCAACCTGGGGTACGCGAAGACATCTTAGGGGGTACGTGAAATTTTAAAAAATATATATATTATTTTATGACAAACACTGAATAACCAGTAATGTAATTTATTTAGTTTATTTTAGATATAGATTATATACTATGTATAACTTGAATTATACACCAACAACTTTGGGGGTACAAAGTTGAAGAGAAATTATATCTGGGGGTATGCGAACAAAAAAGGTTGAATACCACTGCAGTAGAGTATATGAGTTGTTACAGTTCATGAACAGTATCTGCCATAATGCTAAGCATGTTAGTAAAGAGGTAATTTCACAAGTGTGTTTTAGAGACTAACAAACTGTAAGACATGAAGAGCAAGGAATAGACAACAGTTACTTCAGGTGTTTCTGTTTCAGTTATTTCAAATTCAGTAAAAAGGAAATCTTTATCAACTCCTTTGACTGTTTAATAAATCCATCAACTATAACGAACCCACAAGAACTTAACATATGATGTGAAACTAGAACTCAAAAGTGTGCCTGATAATACTAATACAGATCTATGCCCTGGTAGTCACACATTTATTCTGATAATGTATTACTTTTGATAGGAAGGAACTACAGCAAGCTACAAAACAATGGACTGTTTGAAGAAGGATACAAATGCAATATTATCAGAATTAAACTGATAAGATTATACATATGAAGAAAATAGTTATGAACATTACAATAATTGAACAACATACTCCAAGGTTCACTTTGAAAGTACACAAGTTAGCACTTTAAATTAAACAATCTTGGGACATCATCCTACTTATCATTCAAATCCACAAATCTACTAACTTCATTACTTACGGTTCAAAGTATTTACACTTTAAAAATATATACCTGGTCACCAATTCCACTGTACATGCATCCCACTATATGGTCCAGCAAATTGATATCAAGCTTCTGGTTGAAATCCAGAAGTTTGGAGGCTTGTTCAGCAATAGTCGCCATTCAGACTGAGAAACTGTTGGAAGAAATTCACATAACAAACCACAATAAAAACATAATTACATCATGAAACTCTTATAATGACTGTTTTTTTTTGTTAGTAATGAGGGGAAATCATAAACCTACAAAATATCTCAAGATGTCACAAAATTATGCAACAAATATTCTAATACTTGCATCCAAGTTTCAATCACTCACTTTTACTTTTTCAGACCAGAAGCAGCTTTAACTCTGCCTTCAGAATAGGCTGCGAACAATCATTCCTTTTCCACCCACTCGGTTTCCTTCACAACAAAATAAACAACATAAAAATACAGAAGACATAACCTGACATACATTTTGGTTCAAGATATCACTTCTATTAATATGTGTTATACGATGAATTTATAACTGTAACAGTTTAAACACGACGAGAATAGTTTTAGCAACCCACGGCCAAAATACTATATTAGGCAGTATATTCACTCGGTTATGTCTAAAATCCTAATCCACACCCTGTTGGACGAAAGTTCTGCCACTAATTTCACAATGAGTATGTTCTTGTTTTCAGTTCTTGAGGCAGAATTTCGTACACATTAACAATAATATTGAAATACACAACGAAAAATACTTCAAATAAGATAATCTCTTTGTCATTCACAAGTAATTATGTTCAAAACGCCGACAACACAACCGTTGCAAATACATTCCCATCTTCCCGCGCGGTATGCACTTCACCGCCGCTCCTGCACGAGGCAGTCACTAACAAACAAAAATGGCGACTTCCGCATAATGATCCACTTACTATTATTATTCTTATTCCGTTTAATTACACAGCTGCGATACTTACTATACGTTGTTTACAAAACACCACTCAGATCACGATTTTATAACAAACTCCTCACCACCCACAACACAAAAGGTTATGCACAACAAAACGACTACTCTTGTTATAGGAAATGACGCATGCGTTCGCAAAATGCTAAAGGTTTCGAGCCTTTTCTATAAAACAAATATTCTAAATCTGTGGCAAAACCATCTAAATTCCTCTCTAAAACCCGTTAAATTATGATAATTGTTCTCAAAGATAACCCAACCTGAAGATTTTCAAAAATAATATCAAGATGGCGACACCAGAACAACTATGAGATATGGTACATGGTTCGTGATAGGACAACTAGAAATTTCTCTTTGCCAATGGCGTCGTGCCTATGAAACAAACTCACGTGACGCAAGTCTGACGTCATTCATACACGTGTCCACAGAAATAAACCAAATACCCCCTCATAAATTTAACATTTTCACACTTTCAGTAACAGAAATTTAACGCTTGGAAAAATTCAGTTCCTACCTCAAAAAAGAACACAATACATATCCGTTATAAAAATGAATTGTTTAATGCTACTAAGGGAAAATAATTTGTTTATTCGGAAAATGAACCTCATCTATAGGCTATATGGGCATTAGCAAAGTTAATGAATTCTAAAACAGGTGGTATATATGTGGTACCACTGTACTTTAGAAGTCAATGTAAGTGAAACCCGCTTACAAATTAATAATCATTTGTTTACTTTATTAAAACGTTTTCCAACAAAGCTGAGCAAGACTTACTCCTTGATTGAATCTGTACAGGTTAATGCATAAATATGAATAGCAGTACCTTTCCTAAATTAATAAATTTATTGCTTATTCCCTTGTTCAGACAATGGGTGTATTTAATTGATGACAGCCTAATGTTAGGCGTTTTCAAATCATTTTAAAAAGTGACTTTTAAATAATCACAATGGGATATTTATTGCCACAGTCTAGTTCACAATTGCAATGTGCTTTGTATGCAGACATGGAATTTGAGTTATTTTTATATGAAAATTACATCTAATCTTTTACATGTTCACATATTGGTTTCTGAATTTAGGTATGTTATGCGTGATGTGTTCACTGAATACTACCCACACAAAAACTCTCAATGCTGCGTAGTGGTGGGTAGTTTTGATCTGTTACATTCAAAATACACAATTTTTATTTTCTTGTTCTGGTTAAAATCTATGACAACAGGTTGAACCATGTTTAATAACTTACTAGGTTACTTGTCAATGCCTTAAGTAAGTTGAGTACTACACTTCCCATCCCATTTTCCTTATTCCTTAGCACCCAAAAAGATGTTTCAACTGATTCTGTCTTGGTTTCTTTCTTACCTTTAAGTATTGTTTTCTTGCTGCTTTCAGGAATCTATTTCTGAAATAATCTGTATCAGCAACTACTGCTTTTTGCAAGTTCTGTAACCAAATACACTATCCAAATTATAACTTCGTATTGTACTCACAGATCAAGAGTTTTTTTTATCAAGGATGGGAATCAATTATCAGCAAAAGGGAACAAGAAAGTTAGATTTACATGCACAGCCATGGCCCAGCACTCTGGAAAGAAAAACACCACTGCTCAACCAAGTTTTTGTCACAATGTTTATAGGTGATCTATAATCCATATTTTCTTGAATAACCCGCGCTCTAGCCGAAAAAAATAAATACAATTTTTTAAAAATTTCAAGTATTAAACATTAACTAAACATCAAACATTACTAAACATATTAAATGATAAACATTAGTTCATATAAAAGTATCTTCGTTATTTCCTATAAAATGTAGGAATTATGTTGAGGAAGCCAAATGGACATATTTCTGAAAAGACAATGTTTTTTCTCCTACTTTGCAGCAGGTAGTACCTGGAAAATGCTCGTTTTCCTTCTTATGGCTAGGTCATACCTTGTGAAGAATCTTACGATCCAACCATGGCTGTCCTTAAAGTTCTTGATTTCCATTTCTTTCGCCAATGCCAAAGCCTTTAGTTGGCACTTTTCGGTTGAAACTGCATAACCAAATTGTCTCTTATTGTTAATGTAGTTCGTTAGTTTTTCTTTTATTTCAAGAAACTCTGCCTTTTATAAATACATGCAAGCAATAGTGGTTATGCTTTCTTCCATTATTATTTTTAAGGTGATAACTGTAGTTGACCATAACTATGTAATTTATATTTGTATTGGAAACAAGTATTTGTGCTATGACATGTTCTTAGCTTAAGCCTATAGATCTAAAAAAAACAAGTAAAACTGTCCTGCTACACACCATGTAGGCACTTAGGGGGAGAGGTACTATAGCTCCTACTCATTCATAACCTTGGCACTAGATAGGGGTGAGTGGTTAGCATCATACCCTGGCTGCAATTTACCCCTGGAAAAAGAACCCACAATACCCACTGGACACGTGGCTGGGTGGGCCCCACAGCCAGTGAATGATAAAAAAAAACTGTGGAGACTGAAACATGTTGAAACAAGCTTCAAATTATGCCGAAGGAGGAGCATGCAGAACATTTAAAGCAATGACCACAAAAACTTCAAGGCAAAACAATGAATCTACATGTTTAAAAGCGTCTTAATGCCTACAAAGTCATGGGATGCAAAATTACTTTGAAAATTAATTCTCTGGACTTACATCTTGACTTTTTCCCAACAAACTTGGGCACTGTTTGTGATGAGCACGGAGAATGCTTTTATCAAGAAACGGAGAAGTGACATCACAGCAAATGCAACCCCAGGTTGTCCGACTACTGCTGGGCGTCAGTTAGGAAAGCCCCAGAGGAAAACTACAAGTGTAAACCATCAATTAGTTCAATGTGCCAATATACCTTTCAATTAGTCTTTAATTTTAGATTCACACAAAATTGGTGGGCAAATTCTGAGGTCATTTTCAAACTTGGCACTAGACAAGACTCCATTATTTCTGAAATCCAGTGTCTTTAATAAAAATACTCAGTAATTCAGATATATTCAATGGTTATGTTAAAAGTTCTCGGTTCTGACCAAAATATCACAGTAAGGTTTCAAGTAAAAAATATTTACTGGTTACAGAATGGTAAAGTTGCATAGAATAAAAACTACAAAAACATCTGCAGAAGAAAAGATATCTAGCCTACTTTTAGTACATCAGCATTCTGATACTGTAGTATTGGTATTTAACAGTGTTGCTGGAAGAATCTACCTGAAGGGTGTCGAAACCGAGAAAAACGCTACACTGAAAATGGTACAGATGCAGAACTGTTCCATTATAGACCATACACACGAACCTGAACGATACCAGTTTTCCCGCCACCAATATATCCCAGAAGATTTCAGCATCATGAATGGAAAGATATTAGAGGGATTTGAAAAGAGTACACATGATACAAGTTCCTGATACCAAGTGTTTATTAAACCTATGCAGACACAGTATTCTAGGCGAAACCACCACATAAAGTGATGATCTGCTGATACACTTCTGCCTATTTTTTTAAATTGATGAGTTATTTCCTCCAGTGTCTGCAATCTGCCTTCAAATAGTCATCATCACAGAACACAGTTTGAGAACCACTGCTGAGCACATTAAAAAAGAAAAGAGGACATTTTAAGGTTATAAAACAGGAATCCCATTTAAAATGCTTCCATATCAAGCACTAATCACAGATTATATCAGTATCTCAAGCATACTGTGAAATTCATATGCAGTATTTATACAAATATTTAAACACACCTGTTTATTGATTAGTCAGACTGTGCTTTGGTGTATAATGACAATAATAATAACTAACACTAAGCATTTCCAACACTAAATGAGGCTCTCATATCATTCTCCATAACAAACATAATTTTAAGAAAATATTAGTACAACTGATTCATTTTCTCAATGTTGGAAAACTACTATGCACATATAATAAATGCATAAATGTCACTTAACACTTGTGTAAAGTAATTAAGGTAATTTTTGAGTCCTCTCAGTGAATCGCTATCAAGCCCGATTCAAGAAGTTTCTGTATCTTTGCAGCAATATCCGGATTCTTCAGGTGGCTGAAATAAGAGAAAAGAAAAAACTGCTGTGATAATTGTAAGACACGCAGTACCTATGCTAGCGAAGACATACAGATATGCGTAATTACGCTGGTCTTCAAGTAATCCCATAATCTTTTAACATTTTCCAAAGATTACTTACTGGTGCCTGTAAAACATCTCGAGTCTTCAAAAAACATTTAACATACATGATCATCTGTGTTCACATGCAAGCACATTCATGCCGTCTCTACACAGCTGCTGAAACTACAACCTCTGAGCCAATAAACAGCCGATACTGACCTTTGAATTTAAAAGAGGTTGAGCAAAGCCTATACAGACAGTGTGTTAGTGACTTAAAACACTGTTACTTTATTCAGTTTGCTCTTACTTATATGTAAGCATTTTTCATATTCCAGTACATCATGCTACTTGCTCATCCATATTGATTATAGTTGTGTCAACAGTGTAATATTTAATTCAATTTTGCATTTTCCACGCTACTGAACTGGTGGAAAACTAGAAACAGACTACCATATTTCAATTCAGCAAAAATGGTGGCAAATAAGACTTCTGTTCAGGTTACAGCAGCATTTGTTGAAAAATGCAGAACCAACAAAAATCTCAGAAAATAATATGAAGAAACAGGAACATGGTGAATCATTACACGCAGTTGGATTTGAGGTTCTCACGGCAGTGGTTAATAAGACGGCTGTCTTCTGGGTTACAGCGCCATGTAGTCTGGTAGAAGTTAACCAATATTTCAGAAGTCACCACTGCCTCCATCATCAGTGCAATCACCCAGAAGACAGCCACAGACCTTTAGTATCAATGAAAACTTACAGTTTACTTGAAATATCGTGAAAGAGCCTTCAGCAAATGCATCAAAATCATTCAAGACCTACATGGCCAAAATAAAAACAATCCTTACAGACGGATGGAATTTAATTAATGGTATCTTAATGATGTAGGATACTAATCCAGAATTTTGCCTAAGATCCTATGGGCAAAGGTAGAGTACAAGAAAGAAAAGTAAACATTACAGCATGTACTGGAGCGGCCATGGCCCACACTATACAACACAAGAAAAGTTCCATGTTCCAGGAGTGATGGTCTGGGCTGAGGTACAGCATAAAGGCATAGTTTCAGAAGTATATCGATCGGCACAATCCACGACTCACGTCTTATGATCATTTCGTGTGGAATATCATAAATGAGTGTGTGTACAAGTAGAAATGTTGCAATGTCCACCAAATAAAGAATGATACACTGAACACATTGCACACTACTAGCCATTCTGCGGTTAACAGGCACGAACTGAATATTCTAAATGATACGGAAAGACGCTAAACAATTTTTGTAAGCAGTATGATTCACAACCTTACATCCAATTTTTATTATTAATCTCAGTAAAGGAATCTGTAAGCACTCTGCTCTTCTGTTCATGAACTTGATCTGAAATGGACTGTCAAATTGTACTATCAGTAACTATTACAATTATTAAACCGTGTAAATGCTTCAGATATTTTAATAATTTCACTTAAACTGAGAGATGCACGATGTAATTTTACTTACTCCTGTAAGGCTTTCGGATCATTCTGCATTTGCTCGAGGATAAGTCTCATGGCCGGATCACGCATGATGGCCTGAACGTCTGGATCACCCATCGCACGCTTACGCACCTCTTCAGGGTTTGAGTTCACAGCCACTGTGCAAGACCTATAGCCTTCTAGAGCCTCCTGTAACATTAATAATGACTTGGTCAGTACAGTGAAGAAAAAATGTAAAGTTCACCAGAAAGCGCTATCATAAGGAATAGCATTTATACTTACAGAATTTGTGGAATCCAGTTCCAGGGCCTTCTGGTAGGCAGAAAGAGCCTTGCCATGTTGCTGCATGCCCTGAAGAAATTTACCTTTTCTAATCCATCCTTTAACTGCAACAAAACAGCTCTTTATTTGTTTAATAATTATTATGATGATCCATCTTCTCCAGTAACAGGCCTAGTTACCATGCTACAGGCTTTTGTAAAACATTCAACTGTTAGCATATAGTGTGAAAATACATCACTTTTATTAAATACATATTATTCTTTGAAGTATGGTAATTCACTCTATTACAGCACAGCCTTGAAGCAAACTTACGCATTGTGGGTGGCTACATTGGACACAAGGAGCATCCAACTCGCAGCCCAAGTCCAGACGGTACAGAAATGTTACAACTGGGTTTTACGGGATTAACAGTTTTTGGGAATGTTAAAAGTTTTTAATTAAGAATATTAATGGCAATAAAAACTGTCTCAAAACCTTTTGTTTATTGTTAATAAATAAAGAAAATTTCCATTTAGAACTTAGAAAGTAAATTGTGAACCACACAATAAAAAATAAGAATGTTATATTTATCGTAGGGTTTTCACAGCTAGACCAATGTACACGTTGGTTTTCAGGGATGTGCTGTGTCGAACGTTAAAAAGTATCTGATATTTTGGCAAACAGGCTGGGCATTTTTGGAAGCCTTATACAGGAGAGGCAGTAGATGAGGAGCGGGATGAGATATATCTGACTGGTGGAGCAGGACAGTCACCTGCTATCCAAATGGCAATAAGAATATGATCGAGGAAAAGAGGTGATGAGAAGATTCTTTTGAGGCACAAGGTGAGATGATGAAAGAAGTTTTGGTGATGTCAATCGGCTACAGATTAAGCAAAGTCTGTGAAATACTATGCAAGCAGCCGAGGAAGAGGAAATTCAGTCAATGGTTACGAGTCACAGTTTGATATATTTGGTACAGGGTTAACAATAACAAAAGATGCTTACGAAATATGTTAGCAGTAACTTAATCATAAAAAGTAGTACTATATTTTTAAAAGGGCAGTTTTTCTGTTAATGCAAATGGTGTCCACTCTGAATTGAAATATCCCCCTAGTTACCCTCACCCAAAGCAATCTCTCTTAAGACGGCTGTCTTCTGGGTTGTTGCGCCGTGTAGTCTGTTAGAAGTTTCAGCGGTCTTCACCGCCATAAAAACTTCAAATCTTGCAATATATCTTTTTTCTCTTGTTGAAAGTGTTAATGACATTTGCAAGAGGAATAATAATAATAATAATTAATATTTTCTTACTGAATTTTGGGTCAAGCTCAACACATTTCTCACAGTCCTTGAGTCCAAGATCGAAGGCAGCAAGTTTTGTGTAACAGGCAGCTCTGTTACTGTAGTACTTGGGATCATCAGGGTTACGTTTAATGGCCTCTGTATAATGCTTCACAGCTGTCGCATAGTCACCTGTAAGAATAAATATACACACACACATACCTCTAAGTACCAGTGCGTTAAAATGTTGAAGTCATTGTACCTCGCTTTTATTTTAGCTTCAGTACTTGCGATATTTTCACAGTACCCAAGTACAAACCACAAGGCGCACTGACTTCTGACACACCTGAAGAAAGAGAATGGCGAGCACACATCAACTTCATCTGTTGCGGGTTGTATTCAAACTAACAATTCCTTCATTTTGCGCAGTACACATTCCAACACACATACAATTTTTGGACGAAGGCAAATTCCATTCTTTCCAACCTATGAGAGCAGCAAAAGAAAATAAAGACCTAAAAGAGGGAGGAGGATAAAGCAGCAAACTGCAAGGGGAAATTACCTAACATTACGTTTTGACAAGTTAACTGTTCGGACTTCGTTTATGTCATAAGTGCATTAAATGTAATAGCAGATGTAACACAATCTCTTCTGATTCATTTTACTGAATAATCGGTGTTCGTATCAACCATTACATGATGTTTCAAACTGAACGGGGAAAATTCCTCCTGTTTTGTGATATTGCACGACATATTTAAGGACTCGAATAAACCATAGATGCTAAGAACTGACTTGGCTTACATTCACACAAATTTCAGTTTTCTGTCAAAGTCAAGACCACAAATTTGATGTTGGAAATAATCAAAGAAATTAATGACAGTCAACATGAACTGAAAAAAATTAATGACTCGAAAGAAAATGCAGCAAAACAAAAGTTCTATTCACGTTTAAATAAGAATAAAGTGTTCATTAATGTGTGAGATTTCATGTGCCTTACAGGGGGAAAGACCTAGTTGATTCCAAGACCTGAAAATACCTGACATAACATGAAAATCGCTCTTCTGTGACACAGATTTATCATGTACAACTTAAAGATAACTTTTGTGGTTCACTTCCTGTTGGAAAGGAATTTGAATAATAACAGGGTTTTTTTCAAAGTATATTTTTCAGAGCATATCTTTTACTTTAAAGTGACATAAAACATTTTATTCATTTTCATCCCCTAAAAAATCATTTCACTAATTATAAAGCTACTACGTTAATGGAAGCGTTAATATGAATGTTACAAACCATTCTTGAACAACTCGTTTCCTTTCTCCTTCTCCTCCTCGGCTTTCACTGGATCAATATATGCCTTTCTCTCCTCTTCCTTTATTTTCTTCTGAACATCAGAGAGTAACGCCTTGATTTCTGGAGTGCGGAATTCTGACATTGACTTTTCATATGCTGTCTTTGCACTATACAAATCCTAAAAATTAAAACACTTATGTACTCATGCCTTACTTCTTAATAAAATCCAAAAACATAGTACCAAAAGAGAAAAGGTATACTCCCGTTACTCCAAAAACAGTACCAATCATTCAAATTACTAATCAGTACTAAGCCTTTATCCATAAAACAAGCAGCCACATTATGCTAGCGCACTTACCCCTAGTTTCATGTGTGCATTGCCAATTCTAGTAAATGCTTTTGAAATCAACTTAAAGTCAGCTCTATTTTCTCTACCAACTTCAATTGCCTTTTCACACTGCTCAATACACTTCTTGTACTCCTTCTGCTCAAAGTATACAGCTGAAAATAAAATACTTCACAATGAGCATTAATACATTTATCATTTCAAACTGAAACAGAAAGTCAGCAAACACAACTTTTAATTATCATGATCACCGGTGGTGGCAGCACCAGCAGCAGCAGTAGTAGTAGCAATGATGGTGGTCGTACTAATGGTAGAAAAGTCTAGAATGGGGCAGCATTCATTTGCCATTTCTAAAGATACAATAGTCAAACACTTGTATTTCAATTCACATTACTTTGAATACCCTATGGTTGACAAGTGCATCTTTAAAAATGATGAATGAATGCTGCCCCGCCCTGTAAAAGTGGTGGTGATATAGTGGTACTTGAAACGCACAGTGATTTAAGCTCATCGTAGCAACTTTATATAAAGACAGGTAAAAAGACTAGTACAAAATACTATTTACGCAGATGCATTTAAAAAATTAATGGCCATACATCACTTTCTACAATAAACTTTAGCCTGAAACAATTTAGGAAGAATAAAAACCTGAAACGCAATCTTGAAGGCAAATCCGACTTCTACGGAAGTCTGTCTTACAGAATCTTGAAAACCATCTGCTCATGTCACATGTTTCAGAAACAGTTTTACAAGGTTTTTAACAAAACATTATGCAAACATTGTTCTCATTTAAATAGTCACAAACAAAATACATACAATTTCACTAATGAGCATCAAATTTTTGACTGACGCACCACAGAATGACGTGCAATGCAAAGTACTCACACAAGTATAGTACATAACCACCTAGACGACAGAAGACTGTGCTTCGTATTATCAGTCCTGTAATTATAGGAGCATTCTTGTAATAAATTCAAAGAATATACAGGAGGAAAACATGACAACGTATAGGCGACAAAGAAACTGATACGACCTGCTGGGCAAATGCAGTGTTAACTGCAGATAATGAAGATAACTTGTAAAGAAACGTTTATCTGTGCCCATTCACAAGCAACCCCGTTGAGTAAACTGAAAACATAAGCACCAAAGTAGTAAAAAAATAAAGCTGTCCCAATATACGCCATGTAGGCACTTGGGGGGGGGGGAGAGGTATAGCTCCTACTCATTCTTGACCTCGGCACTAGATAGGGGTGAGTGGTCAGCATCACGCCCCGGCC